AAATTTCGGCCCCAACGCCAAAATCCAAACTCCAGCCCCAGTGCCAAAATCCAAATTTCGACCCTAGAGCAAAAAAAAAAATGAACCATCCCTAGAGCGAAAAATCCCCCACCAACTAGATTGGGGTAAAGCCCACTAAGGGACCCCACTGGCTGGCCCAATAAGGAGGCATCACAGACACGGAGTGGTAAGCCCTTTATGAGACAGCCTATCAGCACGCTCTCCAAGGTAAAGAAAGGGATTTCAGAGCATTGGGAAGTGAACCTTAAGCAAAATCCCCAATTGACTAAGAGTTCACTTTGGTCACCCCTCAGGAAGAAGCTTAGCATGATCTCCCCCTCAAGGATTATGCTGACACCGGTGATCAAGAAGAAAAATATTTTGTTGAGAGAAAATAAACACGTCTTGGTAAGGATTCAAAAGATGAACTTCGACGACAAAATAACGTTCCGAATGTTGCGCTTCTTGCTTCTCTCAAAGCGCAACATCCATCGGGGCAAGTTGTTACCGTCATTTTTGATGTACCTACATCCCTAACACAAATAAGAAGAGAGTCAGTGACAACCTAGCCTTGCTAGTGCCAAAGACACCGTCAGACCAAGGGAATACTGCAGAATAAACCTAACACTAGGCAACCTTGAAAAAAGTACCATCACGTCACAAAGAGACCTTACAACTACAGCCCTATGCTAAGGGCTTCAAAAGAGTATCAGACCACTGTCGTTATATCTAGAACATTGAAAAACCCCTAGGGACCAAATTTGGCCTCAATCGGACATCTCAAGAACAATCTGAGCTCAAATTACCTAGAAAGGGTAAAATTGTACACTATTACGGTGGAGCCTCACCGAAACCAATCCCCAATCATGGTGATCATGATCTTCACCTCTCAAGATGACCTGAAAACACCCACACATTGCTCGATTGAAGTCGGATCAAGCCGAAAATAGAGCTTTTGAAGAAAAGCCATCTCGAACTTCGTGAAGCTCGAGAACTGTATATCGGATCATCGAAAAGACAGTGCAGATGAGACCGTATCATGAAGGGGTACAAACTAGTATAACTATTACATTCAGTCCAATGTTAGATAAATCACAAATTCCAAGGAAGAAAGAAAATAAGATCGCCAGATCACCAAAATCCCTTTTTTCGGTGATCGCCCAAAAACAAAAAGTACTTCAAGAAAGGACCAAAACGGATAAAAATTGATACAAAATGACTGCGGAAGTATCCTCTTCAATCTGCAATCAAAATAAAAAATCGAAACACCATAGATTGTGCTGCAACGATGGCCGAAAGTTCACGATCTAACCAGGTTTCCACTGCTCAAGAAAGAGTCCGCCGCAAGACGATCAAAAGATGTCAAAATCTTCAGAATCAAACAAGCATCAAAACTACGATGATCGATTGTCTCAAACACCTTCGCAAGCATCCGAAAAAGCTTCTAAAATCTGGCGTTGGCGAAAGGACCCTCAGAGAGGGATGGTTTCGTCATTAGTACAAAAGGTTTAAGGGGAGCATTTTGGTCTTTATTCCTAAATTCAAGATTTTATTGTAATTTCTTTTAATTGTAATTAGGTTTAGTTTTGAGCATCCACCCATGTTTTGTGGATCCTCTATAAATATAAACCTAGGGAAATTGTAAAAGGATCGAATCATTCAATAATGAAATAGAGGCATTAAGCTTATTTCTACTTGTCTTTTTGCTCTTAACCCTTGGATCTAGTGCCGGAGAGAGAAAAAAATTTTCAGAGAGAAACTATCTCTAGCCTTTATTAACCGCGTGGCTCAAAGCCCTCTCTCCCTCTTCTTTCTTTCTTCTCTCTCTTCACTTGTTACTTGCTCCGTGCAGTAACTTGTGTCAATGGAGAACACACGACCGCATCTCTCTCCCCGCGCATCTTTAGTGTAGACCACCCGCGGTAATGTATAGCACCCTGCTATCCCACATACACTCGACCCAATACCCCTTAGAGTTAACCAAAGGATTCCAACCCTCATATCATCGCTCTAACTTCCTCTCTGTACAGTCAAGTTAAGTTGTGAGAGATGCCTACGCTCTCTGCCTCAGTCACTCCGAAAGAGTCTTCCTGAGTCAAAAAATCAAAAGGGTTCTAATCATTTGATTACTCTAATCACCCAAGCATACAACGTTCGGGTGGAAAAGGGAATCTTCATCACCTCTCTCCCTTATCCCCTCCTTTCGTCAGCCAACCCTCATTTGAGCGAGCCACTATAGAGGAGTACAACCAAGTCCATATTGCAGTTTCAAGCGAGAGAACAAAGCAGCGAGTTGAAAAAAGCCTGAGGAGAGTTTTTGTCCATACCGCGTTGGCAGACAGCCAGAGGGTTTCGTAATTGTTTTAAGAGGGCAAACTACCTAGGTGTGTCCCAAACCCTAAAACGACAAGGTAAGAACCAAAATGCCCCTTGTCATAAAATCTCTCTCTTTGTTGGTTCCTATCTGCACGTAGGAAAGCAAGCATGCAACGCAAGTGGACCCTCCGCGGTTGTTTGAGAGAGGATTTTTCCCGTCGTCCACAAGAAAAAAAATCAGGTCCGACCAATATGATCAGCTTCTTTGAGAATTTGCTTGCTCAAGAAAGTGATATTGACCCACTTCTGATAGATCAGTTTCTACCACCATGCTCAATAACTGTATATCAGTCGGCAAAATTGGCTGAAGCATTCACTATGAAGGAGATTAAGGCTACTATCTGGGACATGCAAAGTGAGAGCGCTCCAGGGCCGGATGGCCTTTCAGTGTAATTTTATAAATTCGCCTAGGAGATCATCAATAAATATATTTATTAGGCCCTCAAGGATTTCTTCAGTAAAGGTAAGCTCCTAAAGCAAATTAATTCCACTTTCATATGTCTGATTCCAAAAGTTGATGCCCCTCCTGTTATGAAAGATTTTAGGCCTATTGGTTTGTGTAATGTTCTATATAAAATTATCGGCAAAATAATCTCAAACCGTCTGAGAGTTGTTCTTGAAAAACTCATTGATCCTAAGCAGGTTGCTTTCTTGAAGGGTAGGTTAATTTCAGACAATATTCTAATGGCAAATGAAATCATATCACTTTGTCATAAGAATTCAGCACGACCAAAAATGTGCTTGTAGATTGATCTGAGCAGTACATATGACAAGGTCTCCTGGAAGTTCATTGTGAGTAGGTTACATCTTTGGGTTTCCCAGACTCCTTTATCTTATGGATTAATTTATGCATTTTGACTGCTTCTTTTTCTGTTTTAAGAAATGGTTCGCCTAAAGGTTTCTTTAAGGAAAAAAAAGGTCTGAGACAAAGAGACCCTCTATCTCCTTACTTATTTCTGCTGTTCATGGACTTCTTTAGTAGGTAAATAGATCAGGCTATGTTGCAGGGATTGATACCCAAAGCCTTACCCTCTGGGTGCAACTATGGGGTGTCTCACTTATTCTATGCTAATGATGCCATTATTTTGTGGGGCATCTTATGCCTCTGCCACTACTATGAAGACGGTTATTACTACTTTTCAAAACACTATTGGTCAGATGTTAAATTCTACGAAAAGCAAGGTTTTCTTATTTGGGGTACAACAAGGTAATCGAGCACAAATTTTGAGAGAGTTGGGGTTCAGTTAAGGCTATTTGTCGGTGCAATGTCAAGGGTTACCATTGTTTCATGGGCACCTATGACACAGTTACTGTCAAAGCTTGGTTGGAAAGGTGATCGGTAAGATAGGTACATGGTAAGCCCTATGCTTATCTTATGCAGGACGTCTTCAATTGCTTAAGTTAATTCTTAGTTCTTTTGCTATTTTCTGGATATTGTCATTTATGCTACTAAGAAAAACTTAAAGAAGCTTCAGCGGAATTTTCTATGGGCAAGAATTGTAGAAAATATGGGCATCCATCTTGTTAAATGGACAGTATGCCTTCCTCGGGAGGAGGGTGGGCTGGGGGTGAGAGATTTGATGGACTTCAATACTGCAAGTATGATGAAGCTTGCCTGGAGGATTTTAGCAAATCCATCTTCTTTAGTTGCCAGTTTTTTCAAGCACATATATTTCAGAATGTGTTCCATTTGGGAGTCTGTAGCTAAGAGGGGTTGTTCTCATGCATGGAAGGGCATTCATTTCGGATTATCTCAACTCATAGACAATTTAGTGATGCATTGGTAATGGACAGATGGTGGATTTCTTGATGGACCCATGGCTGTCAATATAGTCGATTCACTCTGGATGATAATGGACATATGTATCGGGGAATCTTAGAGGGCAAAAGGTTTTTTATTTTATTGATGGTAACCTCCGATCGTGGGCATTGCCTTCATCTTCCGCCACTTTGCTGAACAACATATGGAGAGATGTGGAACATCATATCCTTCCATTGCAGCATAAGAAGGATTCATTGGTATGGATTCATTCTGCTAGTGAAACCCTTTCAATCAAAGAAGTATGAAAGTTTATTCGTTATAAAAGCTCACCTCAACCTGTATTTCGTGCTCTTTGGTCAACCAAATGTCATCCACGGGCTAAGTGGTTCTCCTGACTAGCTATGCACAATCAAATACCGACTACATCCATATTTCAGCAATGTAGTATTCATATGGCTACTATCAGTCCTTTTTACAATAACAATGAGGAAACCCTATGTCATCTCTTGTTTCATTGTACTTTCTTGTAGGGTGTTTGATGGCCTTTAGCTTGGCAGTGTGGTAAGAGGTTTGTGCTTGGAACTTCAGGACAGGATACTCTTTGTAGTTGGCTATCCTTCATATTCAAATCAAATGGGTTCCTTAACATCTTGATGGCTATCTTTTTCACGACAATCTGGTTTCTATGGGAGGAGTGAAACAGAAGAATCTTTCGAATTAACGCATCAAGAAGAGAACAGGTTGTCATTCGGATTGCTTCACATGTAAAGGCCATTGCGTAAGTTAAAGAATGGGTCTTTCATCGATCAGAAAATGCGATTATTGGCAATCTACAAATTAAGTAGCGCCAGCTGACGCCAAAATGCATGATCCCAGTAGCATGGTCACTCTAAAAACTTGCTGTTATAAGCTGAATATTGATGGTGCGGCCTTACACAACTCTGGTTTGGCAGGTGGTGGTAGGGTCATAAGAAACTACAATGATGGATTTGTGGCGCCATTTGCTAAAGACTTTGGTTTTGTGTCCAATAATTTTGCAGAATTTCAAGCTTTAGAAGAAGGCATTCTTTTAGCTATTCAAAAGGGATGCTTCCCGATACAGATAGAGGGTGACTCATCTCTACTAGTGGATGCTATTGAAAATCAACGTCGTGCCCCTTGGAGATTACAGATGATAGTAGACAATTGTCGTGCAAGGTTATCGCCTCACAGGTGGTCTATTGCTCATATTCTTCATAAGGCGAATATGGTAATTGATGCCATCACCAAGAGATGATCGGTTTATACAGGAGCCAGAATTTGATGCAGTCGTCCGCCTAACTTTCTCTCTCTTCTTTTATTATATGATTTACCGCAACTGCATTATCATAGGGTTGTATAATAATGTGTTATCTCTTTTCTATTAATGAAAAAGCGAGTAGGGGGCCTTCTCCCCTTACTGACTTACCCAAAAAAGAAAACAAAAAAAAAAAAACTATCCCAATCGACCTTTTATGAGATTATCAATCAAGATATTTCTCGCGTACTAACTAGTGTGCACAAATATCAAATAATAGGGTGACATATGGCACAAGTGGTGATGCTTAATTCTAATTGACTCTAGGTCAAAGACTTCCTTATTCCATGTATGCAGATCAACCCTCAATCACTTCAATTTAGTCACAAACAGGTACATAGTTGTTCCTCCAACTCTCTCTTCCTATGATGCAGAGATCATGCTCATGAAGTCTGGGTGCTTTTCCCACATAGAAAAATATTTAAGTGGCTTTGGTCCGACTGGTCCCTCATAAGAAATTGTTACCAGTAGTGGACAGTGATCAAAGTTACCTTTGGGAAGAAACTCCACCTTAGAATCCGAAAACACCAAAACTCAGTCAATAGTTGCAATTGCATGATCTAATCTTCTTCTTATGCACCTCCTACTGATCAGGCTATTCGACCAAGAAAACCATCCCTTGCCTACCCCAAGGTCAGACAAAACACAATCCATCATGACTCAGGCAAAATCACTCGAGTCTAATGGTAAAGAACTGCTTCCTCCCATTTTTTCTGAGCTGTTCAATAAAGTATTAAATTCCCCCATAACTAACCAAGGTTCAGAAAATAATGCCCCCCATAGTCATCATATGATTCCTCAACGGATCTCTTTGAGATACTGAATTGAAGGCATAAACCATTGAAACCACTGACACTCGGCCCTTACCAATTCTATTGGCTTCCACTGTTATCATTTGTTCTTTTACATCAAGCACATTGATAGAGTATATCAATGGATTCCAAAGCATCAAAATTCTACATCTATCATTACTCTCATTTGTAATAAAGTTATTATAAAAACCCAATTTTTTTACCACACCCGATGCAACTCTGAAGGTAACTTGGTCTTTAAAAAAAATAAAATACCATTATTTTTCTGGTTTTTTAGAGTTACAATATCATAAAATCTACATGGGCCTCGAAGGTCCCTTATATTCCAAGCTATAACAAACATAATAACATATTACTTTTTTGATTGTTTAGTAAGAGAAACCTTACCTTATGTGCATATTAAGACGTGATGTGAATTATGAGAACGCCTGTCCTTGCCACCAATAACTATTGTAGGTCACTTAACTTGAGACCAAGTTCGAGGTTTATTTAACCCCTCACTAGTAGTATGATCTTGAACCCATTTGCTAGGACCTTCCACCTTATGAGCTCCATCAACCAAAGGCATACTAGGCTTTAATTCTGTTGAGACCTTGGACTCTTTACTATATCAATTGTTATTGCATCAACTGAATCCATGCTATCTCCCGTGTATGGAATTTGGGGCAAACACTTGTCCTGTAAAGAAACCATATCACCTGCATCCTCACCTTCTTGTATACAATTGTGCTCACCATCAATAGAAGATGGCATCTCAGAAAACTTCCCACCTTCATCATTACCATCTGATTCAGCGACTTCTAAAATCTCTCGCAGACTATTATCAATTATAATGGCATTACCATCACAATCATCAGCTTCTAATCCCTCTATTTGAACTGTAAGCAACTCATTAACATTTGTGAGAGACTCTTTGACATATATATCTGAAGCATCACCATTAAGAACCATGTCATTTTGTAACAGGCTTGAGTGATCCCTTGCAACCTGATTAGGGGCATCCATAACAACCTCATCTTTTTCCTCGACTAAGACCTAAAAGGTATTGGGAAAAGTTACAACTTCCATTTTCTTGTAAATCATCTGCGTTCTATCCTTGACGACTTTCCATTCCTCCTCCCCCGAGGGTAACACAATAGCTAAGCCACTATTATTTTTAACATTTATTTCAACACCCTTGACCTTTGATGTATCTCTTACAGCAAGAGATGTACGACAATGATCCCACATATGGCCAACTCAATTACATTTCGAACAAGTGGTTGGTATAAACTTGTAAATAATCTTTTGACAATATTCCTTGCCCAAAATATCAAACCACACCTTCGATAAGCACGGTCTACTCATCCAATGCAACGCAAATCATTGATTCCGGCTTAGATCGAAATTTTGTAGGATTGTTCACAGAGACAGGCTTTCCTGCATTTGATGCCATACGAAATAGAATCCCCGACTCCCAGAACATAAGAGGAAGATCTGGCAATTTAATCCAAACTGTAAGAGTACATCGAATGCTTCTAAACGGTTGGACTGAGGCGTCTCATTCTTGAAGAACCAAGCGCTTTTTGTTTACAAACCAAGGGCCACCAGTGCGTGCTATTTCTATTTCCTCCTTTGTTTTGAATCAAAAAATCATGAACCCATCTCCAAGTGAGAAAATTTCTAGGTCATTTTTCAGCCTCCACATCTTTTGTAACATCCCTTTCATATACATCCATTTTGGTTTGCGTCCTAGGAAATAGCCCAAGAGACAGTTTTCCCACTTTTTCAAAGCAAGATTTAACTAACTCATGTTTAATTTTCACTTGACATTTATCGTTGATTGTTTCAGTTGGTGTAATGTCCATGTTTTTGAAGTACCAAACACCATTTTGGATCCCTTTTTCTCCGAAAAGAAGATCCATGGGTTTACTCAAGTCCCAACAGTTTGGGGTCACTAGTGACCCCTCCTTATTTTTAGATCCAGACATCAAAGTAGAAAACACCTCCTTATCTCCATTAATATGGCCCTGAACATTAGGTGAAATAAAATTGAAGGACTGAGAATCAAACCCCTTACCTTTGTCTTTCGAGGATGCATTAGATGGTAGAGGAATATCAATAAGAGCATGACCCTCCCTCACATCCTCCCCAATAGTGCTCTTCGAAGATTCACCCATGAACATGACTCGTTGAGAGGCCATATTCATAGAAGAACCTTTAGAAAGCTCATGTAAATGAAGATGAGCACCCATTGAATGACCATGAATCTTCTCACAATTTTCGACCATAACTATGTTGTGGTTTTCCTCTCTTGGTAAAACAGTTTCCACCGTGGTTTTTCTCTCTCGATGACCATGGTCATTCCCAAAACTTTCAGGCACAAGTCTGTCATGGTTTGGCTCTTTCGGTGCAACAACTTCCTTGAAATGGAATGACCCAAATTCCTCTAGAGAATCATCATTGACATCTATTCCTCTGCCACTACTGTCAACATGTATCAAATTAGAGTAGCTATCATGCAAAAAAACATCCACGATATCATAAGAAAGCTGATGTGTCAATACATCACCCAAAGAAAGATCACAACGATCCATCAAACTATTGCCATGATCACCCAATTCTCGAGCCAAATGAAGATCACGCTCACAAGGGACACCAGAATTGTTGTTGTTAATAAGACCTTCTAGCATCATTAAAGGTGCATCACAACTCAACATCAGCAAATATGTTTCTAACATGGGCAGCATCATCATTCATAAACTTTGGTGTTTGGTTAACACCACAAAACCGTGATTAGTCACCATTGTCGCCATCTGATCTAGGCCGAGGGGTATCACCTATGTGATAACCAGACTCAGCCACAACACAACCTGTGGATCTTTGTCCACAAGGTCACCGACTATGTGTTTGCCTTCAAGATCCTTATCGGCACTAGATCTAGACCAAGCGAGAGCATCTATAGCATGTCTAAGAGGCTGGGATCCACCTGTACCAGCAGAATGGCACTCAGTGATAATAAAAAAACTCAGGCTCTCATTGCCACTGCCAAAACCAGCATCTTGACTAGTGCTGCCAGATCCCAATGAAGAAGACGCACGTTGTGCTTTGGATCTAGAGGCTTCCCATCCATGGGAAGTGCTTGCTCATAATCGAGGTGCCCATATTCACCATGCGAAGATCAGAAGATCTTGCATCCATGGATAAACCTTGCAGAAACCTAGTTCTTTTATGAAAATCTTAAATATTGATGATTGCAAAATGCATTTCAAGATGCACTCAAAGTGATAAAGTCATTTCGGATTTGGGCCCCTATCCTTTGGTGAGAATGGAGCCAACAATACTACCACCAAGGCCCCATGCCATTCTAAAAATAGTGGTAAGTCAGTGGGGATTTGAACCCCTACTCTTTGATGAGAATAGAGTCAGAAACCTCATGGAGCTTAGCAATACTACCACCTAGGTCACAGGCCATTCTCAAGTGCTATGTCAGTGGGGATTTGGGCCCCTACCCTTTGGTGTGAATGGAGTCAGAGACCTCACCATGGGGCTCAACAATACTAATAACAAGGCATGCCCCCTTCGCATTCCTTTCTCTCACATATTTTATTAAAATACCATGGATCATTTGGCTGATTATTGGAGGCCTGCATTGTAGTTGCTAGTCCCTCTGAAGACTTATGCTTGAGTCATATTTCCATGATTCTTCAACAAGCTCTCCATATTAACAACTTAGTGATCATGTCGGCAAAGGGGAAAGGGTTGGATGCCTCGATGTGAAGAGATATTTCTTTATGATGGCTTGCACATCGTGTTTAACCTCAAAGAAGTGCTTGTAAAATTGCCTTCCATCGACACCCTTGTACGGATAGAGTTTGGTGGAAGATAAGAGCTACCACTTGAAAATAGGTCCAGACAAGGTCTCCATGAACTGCTGCAATAACAAGCAGTTGCAGCATCGCTTATTCATGTGCTTGATGTGTAGAGCATGCAAGAGAGAGAGAGAGTTTGGGTGGGAAGAGCATCTGCTTTTTGTGTGCTTGCAGATCAATTATGCAGTTCTAGCCATTGGAGGCTCTTCATGTAAAATGAAAAATATAATCTATAGCCACTGACCATGTTGAAAAGAAAATCATAAAGCTAAGCAAACCTTCTCCACTATTTCGCTATCAATTTCACTTTTATATAGATTCGTCCGAGCTTCTGCAAGCATTAGGACAAGTAAGAAAAGAAGCACAAAAGAATAATGATCCCTCTTCATCATAAACAAAGAAATGGATTTTTCTTTTTTCCTTGTACAAAAAATATGCATGCTTCACAAATTATGACATTTATATGCATAAGCAAGAATACCATCTCTCAAGCAAGCACAACCATCTATGTTCAAATTTTAACTTTGAGTTTCTAACCGAATTATGTAGCAGTTAGATCAACATTGTACCCAAAAGGAAGAGACTGAAATTATTAGATAATAAGAAAAAGAACTGACATTTTGCATAAACGAATGCTCATTTGCTTCTGCAAATGTGAGAGGGTGGTCACTTATGGGGTGCTTCCAACTAGAACTTTCTATTATCTTTGGTAACTTAAGGTAGTCCAGACTTTTTTTAAGTGAATTCTATCAATTTCTGAAAGAAAAGGAAGAAAGATGAAACCTTATACATTGTATCCCATATTTAATGTAACAAATGAAAAAGAAACCATATTGACTAAATCACGTAAGTTAGCGTTTTCCACCCAAAAAACATGAAGCGTGGCAAGTTCCATAAATCAGGATGATTTGGTGCAATGTGTTTACGATGCATATGTGATGTGCCATCCAGCCAACACCAAGCTGCCCAAGAACTGATCTCACCTCCAAATACAGCTTTTATATGCCATCTACCATTTTCTACGGTCCATCGAAATCCCTACATAGGATTGGATGGCACATATTAAAGCATTTTGAGATTGAAAACATATAAAGCACTCAATAAGAAAAAGACTAATGTAACTTAATGGGCTAAAGAAATCAGCCACTGGGGTATCATCATGGTCATGTCCCATTCTGACGGGCCCCACTCCACTCTCCATCACCATCCATCATTTTATGGTGATGACTCCAATGAGTTATGGTCTTCTAAGGTTCATTGGATTGCACTACACTTTTACTAAAATGAATGTCAAAAACTCCAGAAAGATTCCATGTGACACCTACTGCATAACGAGTATCTGCGGCAGCTGCAAACCATGCACGCATGCCTGCAAAGAAAAGAGAAATGGACAAGGAAATGGACAATGAAAAATCATTGTTGATTTGGGTCCTTACCATCCACTAAAATGATGGAGGTGATGAGAAGAGAGTGAGACCTACACGAACAGGACATGACCCCAACGGTGGGTCCTACTCTCTCGCCATCACCGCCCATTTGATCAGACATTGATGACCTGATTAAGTGTGATTTAGAATGGATCACACTTCCCCCCATCACCGGTTGCCATTTCACATGGCAGTGAAAACCCCACTGGACTACGGTTTTTCATAGCCCACCAGACCATGCTTTTCTGAAATCAAATGGGCCACTGAATTTTTCCAATTCATGTTAGAATAGTTCCTTAAAAAGCCAAAACACTGTCAAACTCAAAATTTTGAGACTCGTCTTTATTGTCCAATAATACACTTATTATATCATTCGTTTATTGTGAATCACATATATGAAATTACATCCATCTCTACCATCATTTTTGAAACGAGATGGTGGAGATCAGATTTAGTGCACAACTGCTGTACTATGCGTAGTATCCTATAAGGTCCCTAATGTTGTGAAATCGGGATAACCCAATCACTCCTTTTGAGCAAATCAAGATATCTCAAATCCCACTAGATATGGTGACCACTACACCACAATGATTTCAACACTCAAATAACATGCCCAATATGCAATAACAAATACAATATAATTGCGAAAAATATAAAAACAATAAAACAAGCAATATGAGAAATCATCAAAGCATAACACAAATGAAAGTTGAGAGGGACACGCACATATACGTGGTTCACCCAAAATGGGCTACGTCCACGAGCAAGATGGTAAAGATGTATTCACTATCAAGAGGGAAACTTATAAGATTGGGGTTATGTAAAGTTACCTCATACAATCTCAAGGAAAGCTCAAACAAAGGAATTTCCTACCAGAAAACCACCTACAATCGACTCATTTCTTTGATTCACAGATGCCACGAAGAAATGCCCACAAAATGGCTCAAGATAAGCCCCAAATGGTGGTGCTAGGATGAATTTTTGCAGCTAACTATTAGCTGCCCCTCCAAAATGTCAATTATGCCCCGACCCCCTCCCAGAAACTAACCATTCTGCCCTTGGTTCAGTTTTGAAGAAACAGAAGGGAAAAAGCCTTTGATCCAGTGAGATCAGAGGCATTTCAAATAAATCAGAACAATAATGAATAATAAATATTAAAAATTAATAATAATAAAAATTAATAAACATGAGCATGCCTCTGTATAGAGATAGAGATTTTCCTCTGCGAAATCATCTTTCACGTATCCATCTCTTTTAGGGCACCACTCCATGGCCTGTAACACAAGGAAAAAAAACAACAAAAACCCCCCAAAAATCAAAATATAGCAATTTATTGATTATCATTTATTGAATTTCTAACAATTTACTTAAATATGACCTCGCTCGATCTTGTAGGAGGAACCCCTTGATATCTAGGGTTTGTTACTGGCTTAGAAAGCTCCACAGTGAGAGGCACTGAAACCATGAAAATTGCCTTGATCCAATAAATTATAGCAATAATCTCAACCAACAAACATTTAAAAAACAAACTCGTACTATTTTTTTATGAAATTAGGGCAAACAATACCTTGTTTTCTTCTTCTAATCAGCAGCATTTTCAAGAAATTCAACCGAAATTTTTGGGGATTTTCAGTCGCCATTGTTAACCAGGAAGAGAGCTTGGAAGTAACTGGCGTTTCAAGGGCGATTTACATGCTTTCAACAAGTGTGAACGTGATTCGGGGCCGAATCTGCGGACCGAAATTTCGGCAATTTGATTGAGTTTCGGGGTTTTGTTTCAGTGAGAAAGCCGAAAGACCATACCAGAAGTCGAAGGGGCAAGATCCGATACTAAATTTCCCGAAATTTTAGGTTCGCGCTATTTCTTCAAGGAAACTTCGCGTCGAAGTAGACTCCCTCCATCTCTCTGTAAAAACTCAATCCAAAACGACAGGAATAAATGAAAAAAGAAATGAGGTATTGTTACAGAAGGTTCTATATGCTCTTTAGATTCACTGTATTTAATATGAACCAAAATATAAGAAATTTAATTGAAAAAACATGTTTGCAAGCTTCCAATATACAAATTAAATAAACCAAATTATCAGATTCAATGCATCCAAACTCCTTAAATATCCGAAAAAATGCACTTAACCCAAATTGATCAGTAAATTTACTATTTCTTTTAATTGGTAAAAGATTCATTGAACCCAAATTGATTCTTTTATTCATATTTTCACCTGTATTTTACAGTAAAAAATATCAGAAAAAATAAAACCAATAACCCACAAAGACAGTCATAAAACCCTGAACTCTAAAATACCCTAGATAAAAAAAAACATACATAAAACCCTAAACTCTAAAATCCTCTCAATAAAGAGAGAAAAAGAACACCAATTCCCAACTAAAAAATATAAAAACTTCCATATTCTTCAGTAAAAACATAATCAGAACGCAATATTCATGATTAATTTTAAAAAAAATTAAATTATCAAAGCAGCATTTTAGAGAGAGAGATTAAGTTACGAAAAAATGGTTAGAAGGCAGATGAGAGAGAAATCAAAATATGAAAGCAGATTTAGAAAGCAAATGAGAGAGCGAGCGGGAGATTAAATAATGAAATAAGTTTTTTAAAGATGATGGGGAAAAGAAATATTACACAAATGAAGAAAGCTGATGAAAGAGAGAATCCATAAATCAAGAAAGTAGATGAGTGAGAAACATTGGATAAATGTTAGACAGAAATATTACCCAAGTGAAGAAAGCGGGTTAGAGAGAGAAAATATGGGTAGGGTCGATCTGATCCGTTATACCCATTATATATGTTCATAAAAGTTTTTTTTATGACTAATTGAGCTCAGCTAGAGATATAATTTTGCTCTAGATCTAATCAAGTATATCTACTAATAAAATATGTAAAGTATGCTTTCTACAAGAACCTTGCTTCATGAAAACAAAGTAAAAACTTCGCCTACAATCCTCGTCCGGAGAGTGCTTTGGGCATCGGAAATTTCCATGATAACTTTATAAGGAATTTTCAACAATGAATATGAAATTTGAAGTTTAAAAAATGGCACAAATTTTGTAGATCCGTAACACTTAATTGTAGGGTGAAATACATGTATTAGATATTGGAAGAAGTTTATATAAAGTTGCAACTTTACCTTTACAACTACAGGTGCACCTTAAAAATCAGTAGAAAATATAGTTTTAATATTGAAAAACCCTCTTATTGATCATCTCGACATCGAGATTGTCAAGATGTATGACCATAAAAAACAAAAAAAAAATTTAGTCTTAGAAATAGTACATTTTACAACATATTATCTACACAATTTATTTTCAAGATTTTCATATGTTTATAGATCTACTTGATTTTAACCATTTTAAAACTTTAAAATTTTATAATTAAATATAAAAATAGAATTTGAAATAATCTTAAGAACATTTTACATCAAAATTATATACTATGATAAAATTTGAAGGTGCACCTTCCCTCTACAGCTACGAATGCATCCGTATGCCAATTGCATGTTATACAATATATACTACTTTTAGGCTTTGAATTCCTTTTTGAATTCCTTTTTTTTTTTTTACAACCACATGGTCCAAGCTGAAACGATCGATTAGAAAGTTATTCGACACCAGAACTACAATTTTTAGTGAGTTTTGAGGTGAGACTTTATTTAAATATTTTTTATATAAATAAATTATATAATATATTAAAAAATATATAAAATAAATTTTACTCAAACAATTTCTCGAGTCAAGTCAATAAACCCGAACCTGTACCAATGATTCAAAGATTGAAAGCGGGCCCTACTTCGTACGACTTTGATTCGAGTTATTCCAATTCGTCTTGGACAATTCTAGTATTGCGCTACAAATTACAAAGAAATTTTATAATTTTGTGAGAATTTGGTGATTACAAGGATTTTCTTTCGAAGCCATCCACCTCCCTATTTCGATCTGATTCAATTGATAAGGCTCGATCATCAGATTTTGTTGTTAAAAACCTCACATAATTTTCTCAATGGATTTCATATCAAAATACCTTGTATATTTCGGAACACTGCCTTTAGATAAAAGTTAATTTTTTTAAAAGTGGACTACCTTATCAACAATTAA